TAACAGGGGCGTGTAGCCGAAGACCGGGATAAGTAGCGCGCCTTTGGAGAGGCCTATGTCCAGTAGTGAACTGTCGCAGATTGATGATGACGATGATGATGAACCATAATATCTTTGCAGATTATACAAATTATTTCCTTAATAATATTATTTATTTGAGTAAGACTTTGAAATTTAGTATGTAGGTAAATGGTGACCCTGGGCATACATTTTGTATCGATACTTTTTAAGACACGGAGGGGCACTCATGAAACATTGTTTCGGAAATATTTGAAACAAAATTGAACAGGAAATCATGTGTTATATATGACACTCACATTATATTGATTACTAGCTGTTCCCCGCGACTTCAGCCGCGCGTAATTTATTACGATTGGATTTCATGAGTTTTAATAAGTTACCTCTTATAACATCAGCTATCTGCCAGTAAAAATCCCGTCAAAATCGGTCCTGCCTATTCGGAGATTAGCCGGAACAAACAGACAGACAGACGGACAGAGAGACAAAAACTTTACAAATAGTATTTTTATTATTAATACCGTATATACTTTCATATGCATTTAGTAAAAACCTGTAATTTTGACATTGCAAACAGACACTTCAATTTTATTTATTTGTATAGATAGATAGAGTTCTAAGTGTTGCTCTATTTGATAATATTACCAAGAAATAAGTAACAATCATTTGTAGTAGATATCTAGGATACGAATGACTTCATAATGATATATATATATATATATATATATATATATATATATATATATATATAAGTTACGTTTAAAAGGGAAAAGCTTATTAAAAATACTTTCAGGTGTCACATCATTCCTTTATGGATAGGCTTCTCCTATAGATTGCCACGTAGGTGGGATATTTGGGGTTGGCAACCGCATGATTTTTTTGAGCTGTTATTAGGTAGATGCTGCTGCCCAGTTTCTATTTCATTTCCGTCTGTCACCTCTTACGACATCCACGAATGATAATAATATGGGGCAGTGGATTCTCTTACGTCGCCAGTACACGGCGCGTCACATAGCGGACATGATATAACAAAACAATATAATATTTAAAAAAATACGGACAGAGCGAGTAGGGCTAAGGGTTTCGAATTAATTTAAATATGCATGTTGTAGACAGTTCATCTATCCTGCAAATCAAGAGTATCCATGTTATTGCCCGTTTTAGATACCGATATACACGAATGCCGAAAATTAATAAAGATAATATTAATTTACATACAATAGGTACGTACATATTATATAATAACTGTGGAAGCAGTTAGATATGTATTTACTTTCACAAAAATAATTAACTTACTAAAATCTACATATTTTATATATATACGGTAAGTCGAATTAAAAGAAAAACTTATATTCGCAGTGTATAACACGTTACCTCCATACTAGAAGAGGGGGGGAAAGCAGCATGCGGCTCACCTGATGGTAAGTGACTACCGCTGCCCATGAACAACCGTAACACCAGGGATATTGCAGGTGCGTTGCCGGCCTTTTAGAAAGGAGTATGCTCTTTTCTTGAAGGTTCCTAAGTCGTATCGGGCCGGAAAAATCGCTGGTGTTAAACAATTCAATAGAGAAGTTGTATGAGGAAGAAAACTCCTTGTAAACGCACAGTGGTGGACCGCCAAGCATTCAGATGGTGAGTATAGTATCGTGAATTTTGACGCGACGTGCGTTCGTGAAAATTGGCGGCTGGAATTAATCCGAACAATTTCTCAGAGCACTACCCATGGTAGATGCGATAGAAAACATCCCTACGCTAGTGCCGTGCCAGTGAATCGCCGATCTGAAAGAAGTCGGTTGTCGACGATTCGAACCTCTCTGCGCTGGATGCGGTCAAGTGGAAGGAGCTGGCACTGGGGTGCCCCGACCCAGAGATGAGAACAGTATTTCATGTGAGGACGAACGTGCGCTTTGTAAAGTTGTAAGCGATGTGCCGGCATGAAATACTGTCTCGCTCTGATGAGCACGCCAAGCTTTTTAGAAGGCCAATTTGGCCTTCCCTTCCAAGGGACCACGAAACTGCACACTGTTCGATATGTTGACGCCGAGGATTCCGATGCTAGCTGAGGCAGCAAGGGGAATGCCTTGAAACTGAGGAGATACGACAAAGGGGTTCTTTTAGCGGTAAACGCGCAAACTTGTGTCTTCTAGGGATTGAACTGGACTAGAACAATCCGACTTTGTTCAGCAAAGACTCTTCGACTTTAGACTCAAGTTTGTCCCGGTACTCGGTGACGTTTTCCCGAGAAATATGGGCACATAGGAAGGGAGCTTCGAAAGAAGCGCTTTGCGCCAGACCCGATCGAAGACTTTAGACTCTACTGCCTCCGCTCATCGAGTCAAGTAAACCAGAAGATCACCAGCTAATAAACCCCTGCGAAAACCGTATTGGCGGTCACTAATCAGCTGGTGATCCTCAAGGTGAGGTACCTTGAGGATCACCAGGTGAGGTAGCAGTTTATAATGGACTCCATTATTATGGAGAACAAGGAGGTGATGGCGATAGGCCTGTAGTTGGACTAAGCGGTTGCCTTATTTAGGTATCGGTCCACCAAAGCTGCCTTCGATGAATTAGGGACTACGCCTTGGGAGTAGGAGTACCGGAAAAGACGCGTTAAAACCGATGAAAACTCCGGAGCACACGTCTTCAGCACAATGGAAATATGCTGCAACTGCAATTATTTTTTTATATAGAATAAGGGTGACAAACGAGCACACAGACCACATGATGGTAAGTGGATACTGAGGCTGATAGAAATTTATTCCCGATTAAGAATCAAAATTCAGATGCGTTGTCACCCAGAAAATTGTTGTTTCCAGAAAAAAGAATCTCCGTATCTCTACACTCGCAATCACCATACGAAACACAGCAGCATTAAGCTGCTATTTTACGCTGGTACTCTGTGAGAGCGTGGTCCTTCCCCGGTCGAACCGACCCATTCGCGCTACAACTATAATATAGCTGCAGCGTGACGGTTGGAACGAAGTTCCTTTCTTTGTTTATTATTATTGATAAACGTATTATATTATTGATTTACAAATACAAGCAAATGAATTACTAGCGTCTATTAAAAATAAAATAATATTTCTTTCATGGCAAGATAAGAAAAAGTGCGAGGGAGATGGATATTATTCTATCTCGTTTCGTTATAACCGCCAAGGCCGTTTACACTAAGTCAGAAGGGGTCGTGACGGAAAAATCTTACACTTTTTCTCGCCTAGAAAATCCATCAAATTCGTTTATTACGTGGTTAGTCACTAATAATTGTAATTGCAAAGAACTATAGATAGTACTTACTATTTAATATTAATTTTAACTTGTATAATATGTATACGTGTTCATGAGAAAAAGTGTCTTGACAGGCGGACCGACGGACAATATAGTGATCCTATAAAGGTTCCGTGTTTTACTTTTTGAGGTAAGGAACCCTAAAAAATCGACGAAATGCAAGCTATGTAATTTTTATTAGCGTCCTCGCCTTTTTAAGTATTCCATTCAGATCGTGCATACCAATTGTGTGAATAGCAATTTTTAAACATTTTTCATCCGAAAAAGTTTGAAAAATGCAATTACGTGGCATTAATCCGTTAAGCTATACGATAATAAATTATATCGTTTTAAAATGTGCTTAAAAAGTAGTTGTGGGGGCTTCTACACAATGATCTCAAAAAAAATATTTCCTATCTATCCAACCATCTTTGAACAAAAAGCACTTTATTGATTGATAATATAAGGTTTAAATTATGGTTTAAGAAGTTGTTTTCATGGAAGAAATCCCTTCGCCGCGGCACGTCTTCGCGAAATTTGACATTTGCCACTTAGGTACTTTACATTTTAGTTCGCATATTTTCCACGAGACTTATTTTTATTGAAACAGACTATGTAATGATAAAATACTTTTCTGCAATAGGACAGATAGACACAGAGAAGTGCTGTTTTTGACGGATAAACACCGAAATGTGATATTCTTGACGGATAGATACCAAGAAGTGCTGTTTTTGACGAAAAGACACCGAGAAGTGCTGTTTTTGACGGATAGACACTGAAAAGTGCTGTTTTTGACGGATAGACACCGAGAAGTCATGTTTTTATGAATTTGTAACAACACACCAAAAATAATTAAATATAAAATAATTTTAGTCGTACGCAATCTTTTAAAATATTACGCTCATGTTATGGTTGTTGTGTCTCTCTTTAATGTTCATCAGTGTCATGTCACAATTTATAATTTTTTATTAAATTTTAAGGCATCCAAGCGCTGGCCCGACTGGTTGCACTCAGCAGATAGATTTCAATCTCATTCAAACTATAGATTGATGCATATTATACAGTTGCCATTTATTATAAACAGGTTAATTTCCCAGATACATAAGACTGACATCAAATCTTAATATATTTATAATTAAAATACCTTAACGCACCACCTGTATGTTAGATAAGTATATTAAGAAATGATATTAGAAATTTTATTTTTATTTTGAAGAATAATTAAGACTAAAATAAGTGATTTTCAATTTTCATCTTCCATTATTTTCACGTTAGTTTAAAATATAATTTACTTTTACTATATAAAATTAATTTTCGTTGTAAGGTATGTCCATAACAGAACCAATTTCACATTCACAACTATATTTTTACCATATCTTTATATAAATAATATATAATCGTTATACTCAACAAACACACGTCAAAAATAATATTTTGACGTTTGATTACGTTCATTACAAACATAAACACAATAATTTAATATAATAAAAATAATTTTCTAATAATAGAATAGCCAGAAAATCAAGTTAAGGAAGTATAGTGTTCTAGGTTAACATAAAACTTTATTACAATAAGGTACTTATAACGTGACAAGAGGACAAGGATAAAGCGTACTCTTGTTTATTGTTTCTGGACTTAAGAAGAATAAATCTTTGACATAAATAACAAATGGCTCAAGGTAGTGTGTATGTGGTTAATGTGGATATTATATTTACATTGCATGTCGAGCGAACAGTCAACGCTGGGTATGTTGGAGGGCGTCGCGAGCGGCTGCAGCATGGTGGCGGGCGCAGGCGAGGCGGGCGGCGGCGCCTGTGGTCCTGGCGGCGCCGGCCGCGCCCAGTTGATCAGCGCTGTCACCGACATCGTCGGCTTGTCTTTCTTCGCCAACGACATGGCCACGCACTAACATCCTCACATCACTACGATCCGATGCACAACGACAACTATGCGGCCACTGCACCACTGCACAAATACACAACTCTCAGATCCGATAAGATTACTCGTAATCGGCCGCGATCGATTTGCGCCCCGGACAATATTATGAGCTCACGACCTACGACGCATTATAGTGCTGTAGCCTGTAGTACGAAAAACGCGTCCGAGCTCGAGTGGCGACATAGCGCGACCGATATCGTCACCGCCGCCGGGCACAAAGCAGACGTTGTGGTGACATTGTGATAGCGGCTGTTAATGCACCCGACGAACGACGACGCAGCGATATCGCAGTGCAGCTCGACAACAATGCGCCGCGGGCTCCGACGACGAAGGTTGTCCGGTCACTAACTAATGCGCGCTAAAATTCAACGAGCTCGAAATTGACAAAAAACGTACCCGTCAACTTCCGCGCGGTTACTGCTGCGAAGGCCTCGCCAAGCGCGCTCAAGGTCCGTATACAATCATACGTGAATAAATCTGATTTTATGTCGGAAAACGGGTTGCTATAATCGATTTCATTTTTTGCTATTAAGCGGCATATAATTCAGAACTGAATCAACTAAATTTTATATATTTTAAAGCAATATGATGGAATAAGAATCATAAAAATAGTCGATGTCTTGCCGGTCGGAACGTTTCTGTAATCAAGTTTTACGTCACTCATAGACGAAACCCCAAGCTAGCCTCTAACATTAAAATTTCGCTATGTCACTCACAATTCAGCGAACAAAATAATGTATTTAAGACCTTGATTGACTGATTGAAAAATGTTGCCGCTGTGCCCTTGACAGCGTTAACCTATTCGTGAATCAGTAATAATATAATATATTACTTATGTATTTATTCTAGTTTAAGAATTTATGCGAAAATCAAAAAGCACACCAGAAAATGGTTGAAAGTAACTTATCCTCGGTTTGAAATACAATTATTTCAATGACTATTTTTTTGGAAAATTGGAAAAATATACCTCATATATTTAAATAAATCTATATTCTATAATACTTACTAACTATAAATCTATATATAATCTTATAACATCTCTTAATTTAGTCCAAATAAACAATATCCAATGTGCTTTAGTTATTGTTCTGGGAGTGTAACCGTCATTCAAATATGACAGATAAACTTACTGGTTCAACGCAGCTTCTTTGCCCTTAAGCTAAATTGACCATATAGTGATGTTATCCGATATATTTAGAACAACCTAATTAAAAAAAAATACTATATAACAGTTAGTACACAGTTAGTTTAATATTTGTATTTTAGCTTACACCACCAAACAATTAAATATGCTTATTGTGTAAAACTATTCCATTATGTTTACCGATGGAAAATGCAAATAATCTAACTTAAATCTTAAATGCCACCAATAATAAATCTATATAGATTGTATTAATGTTGTTGTACTAAAATATTATGGTAACCCTATCGAGAACGCCTGAATGTAAAGAATACACATGGACAACAAACACGTCTTGATGGGCGTTCCACGTTTCTCAAACCAAAAAAAAAATCACTAAATATTTTGGAATCATTAATGCAAGATGAATTCAAAGCAATTTAGTTAACAAAATTAAAAAAAAAAACTTATAATTTTCTGTAATTTATGTTACAAATACTATTTCCATTTTCTGGGAGATAATTTATTTTAAATTGTGCATTAAGCGAAATTTTATACTATGTTCGTCATGACATCGGATAGGGTTATATTTTGTACTTTTTTGGGGAGTTCCAAATGGGGTGGGACGAATAAATGACAGATGGTTGGCTTAATTACCAAACACCTACCTACAGGCTGATGCAACAAAGAAAGTAATTGTCAAGTTGCATAGCCTTTGTTTTTTATGTTATAAAGTTTTTTTGGTTCTATATGTACACAAATAAAATTGTATTATGTGTGTTACTTTTAAATTTTCAGCTTTCAAATGGTTTTTGCTTTTTATGTACACTTGATTTTGAATGTTTTCTAAAATAAAAACCAGTCGAATTGAGAACAGCTTTTAAAAGTCGGCTAAAAAAAATGTGATCTGTATGAACGAATTTGGCACGCAAACTATAGAACCTATCGACATAAAAGTTACACAACATGTACAAAATACGTACGGAAACCAATTTAGTTTTTGTTTCTGTATATCTAGATCGCGGTTTGGTGTGTGATATGTGAACCTTATACGGCGCGGTTGAGTTAGTAAGAGGGAGTGAATTAAAGAAGGTTATTGTAGGCAATGAACGTGCCGGCAAGCTCGCACGGGAGGGCTCAAAGAGTACACAATTTGGACCCGGCCATTTTGTGGAATCTCATAAAGCCTAGCCTGATTGTTCCTTGAAACTCTTTATCACAATAAATCACTTAAGATCTAGTCTGATACACCAGGCTTAAAACATTCTAAAACCTTAATCCGGGCTTATGATCGTAAATACGCTTCAGAAGTCCTGGGATTAAGTAAGAATAAATTGCGCATTCTGGCAAAAGTCATGACTGGACACAGTTGTATAAAAAAAAGCACATATATAAAAAAGCCATCCTGGGACTAAGCAACTCAAGGATGTGCCGATTCTGTTCCTTAACGGAAGAAACACCTCTGCACATCCGAACTGATTATGGTGCCTTAATGCGAAAACGTAACACTCATTGGGAAACTATGTACTTAGCCCAGAAGAAGTGAAATTGCTCATAGTCAAGCAACTGCTTCAATTCATTGAAGACAGCCGTAGCAGCGATCACAATATATCTTATCGAACGCAGTGATACTGGTCTTTCTAGACTTGCATCCATCGACCTGCTCACACAAAAAAAAAAGAAGAAAAGAGGGAGTGACGGACTAAAACGGAATACTAAGATGAAAACACAGCAAGCAGTAGGTACAACGCCTTTAATGTTGGGATCTGTGCGAGCGTGATCCTTTCCCTCCTAAGCCGACTCATTCGATTATTTGTTTAGTTATTTATTGAAGAGAAGATTAATTATGTTTAACTACCCAAAACTTTGTATCGTTTGCTCATAACTAGTATTGCTTAATTCATACCAGATATCCGTGACTATATAATTAGGTACAGCCCTTTATATCCATTTTAAAGTACCTATTTGAAGAAACATAAATATAATGTTACAAAAAACAACTCGTGGTTTATACAAGTGATAAAATTAAAAAAATTGTACTATCGAGGTCAATAATTAAATAAATATATCATCAATGTAGTCGAAGTCAATTAAATGCGCATTATTAAGGATAACAAAAAACTACAGGTCAGATCTTGATCAATTTATATGGGACCACTTTAGAAGCACCACATTTCAAATAAAAAAAGAATCATTCAAATCGGATCACCTAGAAAAAAGTTCTGAAGTAACACACTAAATGTAAAAAACAGTCGAATTGAGAACCTGCTCCTTTTTTTGAAGTCGGTTGAAAATTCAAACGAGTGCACGAATGTCCTTGAAACATGACACATAAATATAACACTCCAGACAACGAGCGTGTAATTCTCAACCTGGTAGTACAAATAAAGTATTCAGAGGCATCAAAGCAAAGTAGAAAGGCCCAACATGCATTGCGAATAACGAGGATGTGATTCATGAAGTGATGCAATTAAAGATTAATAAAATACTACTGACAAACGAGTTAATTGTCTACCCCACACATATCCTTGTACCATCGTTAATGCTACCTAAGATCAAGCAAGCTAATTTAACATTGACAATCACTCCCCATACGTGTCATTAGTTAAGGAATATCTTGAGTCGTAAACAAAAGTACTAAATGTTAATGATTATTACAAACAATGTTATAACAACAAAAGTATAATAAACATAAATAATAATTTACTTATCTACACATGTATTATTCGCCAAATATATATCAATATTTTTGCATTCTGGAAAAGGTAAAGATTGCGGAATGTTGCGCAACCAACTACGCAGTATAGCCAATTGAACTTGGAAAGGAATCAACCCGCTTATTAGTTCAGTAGAAAATCAACTGATACAAACTTAAGAACGTCATAAATATGAAGCCTGTCTGAGAATTTTGAATTCCCTTAGTATATTCGGAAATCGAGGATGATTTTTATTTTTGTCTGCACGTACAAGTGTTAGTGTAACTTGAAAACGTAGCTTCAATACAATGAACAACAACTAATGTTCATTGTGTTTGAACCAGGGGTTTTGAGAGGAAGAAAGAAAAAAAATATTAATCGAAGCTACAATAAAATTAAAAGATTTTGTCTATATTAAGTACTATTTTCGAATTCCACCTGCAGCTTTGTTAAGATTTTAGAATCCTAGGTCATTGACGCACAACTACGTAAATAGTTACCACCATACCAATAAAGATTTTCTTTTCTTCAGATGATTATTGTCTCCGACAGATGAGCAGATAATTTGAAATAAAAATTATGTACTGCCGACTTCAATATAAGTTATTAAGAATAAGTCAAAAACTATTGGTTTGACCTTGATCAAATTCATCATATGGGACCACACGAGAAATACCAGCTTTCAAATAAAAAAACAATCATCCAAATCGGTGCACCCAGCAAAAAGTTATGAGGTAACACACTTGAGTACCGTCTCCATTTTGGAAGTCGGCAGAAAAGGCAGACGGATAATGCTCAGAGCGGCGACGGGCAGCAGCGTTAAGGTACCCGACGTTTGGTACTGCGGTGTTTAATCCGCATACTAAGCGAGACGATTTAAGTAAATCCTCTCTGCAACAGGTCAGGTCCATGTCTAGCTACTTAGCAAATATTACGGGCTAATAAAGAAAAAGATGAAGAAGAAATCGATTGGGGAGAGCCAATTAATCAATCGAATAAGATTCTCCTGGTATTTATAATAATTATAGTCTTCTTTTACGATACCTATGGAACGTGATGTAGCGATAGGTTCTCTATTGTAGTCTAAATTAAAATAAGATTTTGATTTGATTTTTATAAAACGTAACCCCCACACTACGATTTTCTCCTGTATTTCGAACCCGCGACCCTTAGCGCCATAAGTCAATGCTCAGACACTGCGCCACGGAACC